TTTCTTTCTTTCTTTCTTTCTTTCTTTCTTTCTTTCTTTCTTTCTTTTTCTTTCGCCATTTTGGGGCTTGCAGTCAGGGTAGGGGGAGTCAAAATATGGTAAGTTTGGCACATAATCTTATCAGAGACAGTTGTACATTTAATTCCCACAAGCAGGTTCTGCTTTGTTGCATATAAAGGCTTCCAAATATTGTCAAAATAAGGACCAGAGAAGAGCTACTCAATTGCTAATGATTCTCCATTGCCAAACCAGGAAAAATTTATCCTTCCTGGAGATAAAAAAAACAAAAACAATCAAACAAACAACAACAACAACAAAAAACCAGGCTACTCATCAACAGAAGTTTACATTTTTGGCCTACTATTGTGTCATGCATTACATACTGACTCTGTAGCATGTCCCTTTAAAGCAATATGGCAAGTCCTTTGAATGAGGCTAATGAAAGCTGTTAACTGAGCCTGATAAAAGTTTTTTTTTTTTTTTTTTTTTTTTTTTTCTGGCTAAGAAGGTGATAAACACTGCCATGTTAATTCACAGGTGAAAGGAAGCTTCTCTAGAGATGTCTTATTAAAACCCTTTTACCCCTATGTGCTACAGAGCAATAGGAGTAGAAATTGACTTAGTCCCCCAGAATGCATTTCAGGAGGACACCTTGAGATAGCTGAAGGTGGCTGGTGATCAAGCCAAGGGAGGGAGCCATCCAACTGGGTTTGGCCGGTCTGACTTTACCACCAGTCAGTAGCCCAGCATCTGCTACCTGAATGGTTTCCTCTGCTAGTCCCTGTGTAGATGCTGAGGACTCAGAGGTACTAGATGCAAATAAACCCCAACCTGTTGGCAGGTAACATTTCAAGAATCTACAAAGAAGAGTAAGGACTCTGTTAGATTTGATGGCATTTACCCCAAGTCAGCCAGTGTGTGAAGTAGAAAAGGGGTAAGGTATCAACTCCTGAGTTGGGTTCTGAGGAATCAAAAAATCAGATTTGATTCCAGCATCAGAGAAGAAATGGAAACATTTTAAAAGAACAAATAATGTATTTCCTTGAGGCGTGGGTAATAATCTTGAAAATACAAAGAGCAAAATCTGCTGGGGATGAGAAGTTATTCCATTTGAACTGATCCTCAAAGGATAGATTCTTACAAGCTATTAGGGAAAGTTTGCATTTCATAAGCAAAGGCATTGATCTCTGCTCAGTGAGTAACAAGTGTTCTTATGTGGCTAATGCTGAACGTTTCAGGAGAGAATGGCTCCTGCTAAAACCAGAGACTGGCACAGCCTTTTGAGCTATGCTGGAGCTCCTAGGCTACACTCTGCAAAGAAGGTATATTGCTGGTGTAGGCCTGGGTGGGTTAAGGGGAGGCCATGCATACAGTACTTACTGTACCAAGCAGTTTCCTTGTTTTCTGTGAACTTTAACTCTTCCCTTTAGTTTGCATTCTAGTTTGGGAAATAGACAATAAAAAGCCACAAACAAACAACTGAACATTTATGTCAGGCATTGGTAAGAGGGCTGTAGATAGTAGCTAAATTATAATAAAATGTTAAGAAAGATGTCCAGGTCTGAGACAAGAATCGAGTGTAGAAACATATTTACAAATACAGGTAATCCCCTTCACTAAACAGAAAATCCAAGTTTTAGCTCTAGCATTAGTGTTTTTTTTTTTTTTCCTAAATAAAAAATGTTTATGGATATTTAGCTTGCATGTATGTCTGTGTGCCATGTATATGCATGGTACTCCTGGAGGCCAGAAAAGGGCCTCTGGGACCAAGTTATAGAAGATTGTGAGCTGCTTTGTGGGTGCTGGGAGTTGAACCCATGTCCTCTGGAGCATCAGCCAGTACCCCTAACCACTGAGTTATCTCTCCAGCCCAGCTTTAGCACTTTCTAACCAAATGGCCAAAAGAAATTTCTTTTAAACTCACAGCCACACCACCAGTTGCCACACAAAGTTTAAGAGCATTGCAGGAGGTCTGTGCTTAGTAACTATGTTGGGTGACTGGATGGACACCTGATTGTATTTCTGGTAGTACACATTGTTCACCTTTCAGAATTATGACCATAGCTCAAATCTTACATTCTTTAGGGTCCCTTTTAGAGCGTTAACCCGATAAGCTTCCCTTTTCCAGAAATCTCTACCTCATACCACATAAGATTACAGTGCCTACATTTTTACTCAAAGGCAGTGTTTGGGCTCTATTTAGCTTGACATTAAATATGAAATGTTCTTCCAAATCATAGTACATGATATCTATCATTTATTAAGTGCCTCAATGTATTAACGGTGGCAGTTAATTTATAGAAATTAAAACAGCCTTGCAGGGCCCATTGATCATTCTATCTCCGGGGCACAGGATTGTCATAAATGTACCCCAAATATTTCAGTGAGTCCCAGAAATGTGGGGAAATCTGTAGCAGAAAAGCCCTTGAAACTAGGTATATCTGACCAAAAAAAGTATCATTGTTACTGAAAGTAAAGAAGTCTCCCTCAACATGGACTGCAGATGAACATCCTAGTGACTTCAGCCTGACCTCATACAAGCCTATAGTGGACAGGCCACAGCAGGGCTCAGTCTGAAGGAAAGAGGGAGAACCAGTTCCCAGGTTCCAAGTAGCTAGAGGCAGATTTTTAGTAGAATATTTGAAAGACAACCCGATGAAACGATGAAAGCAAATATAAACAAGAATTCACAAGGGAAGTGTCATGAGCTTGACTGAGAGGAACTAGAACACATGAATTTGAGTCATAGCTGTCTTTAGAACACTTGCACCCCTTCACTGATTATCAAGTTTTTCATAATTTTCTTTTCTCTCCTAAGGTCCCCATATCTGAGCTTGCTTCTGCTGTACCTCTGATCTGGACCTCTGCAACATCTAAAATATCCCTGAAAATCTAGTTTCTAGAGTTAACTACTCTCTACTCAGTCTGCTAAAAGATTATTTGTAGCTGGTGCGGTGGTGCATGCCTGTAATCTCAGCACTCATCGAGGCAGAGGCAGGCAGATTCCTATGAGTTCGAGGACAGCCTGGTCTATCACAGCGAGCCCGGGGCAGCCAAGGTTACACAGAGAATACCTGTCTGGGAAAACAAAAAACAAAAATGGATCATTTGCTTCCATCATAGAAAAACATTTGGATCTTCAAGTCCCAGTATTAGTCTTTTTCTAGCAGAGGTAATAATGGACAGGATAGAAAACCTAACCTGCATGTTCTCTCATTATCTTTTATTACTAACATTTACGTATTCTCTTGTCTAATGCCTTACAAGCACTTCACATCTATTGCTCAAGGGTCCTTTTAACCTTGATACCATAGTTTCTGTACCTTTCCTGGTTACGAGAGCAAAGATGGGGTAGACCAAATGAATGAGGCGACAACGCTACAACTTACCCTTTGGTTCCCAGTTACATGGTAATGTAACTGGAAGATATTGCAGGCCTAGCTGTGACTATTATTTTCTCTAGTGGATTAACAGATTATAAGTACGATTGTCACCATTTCCCAAGTTAGCAAATGATGCATGCACCAAGCCCTAAATAGATCTGTTTAGGAAATGTTGCTGGTTCCCAATAGGTCCATAGCCATTTCGTGAATATCTACTGTGAGCACTCTTGCTATTGGACACACTTAAAAAATATATATATGAGGTAGAGATTAACTGTCATTCTTATGTGAACAGCCAAAAGTTCCAGCAGCATTTATTAAGACTCGTTTCCTTATTGGATTGTCTTCATACTGACTAAAATGCAATTGACCATAAATGTGAGGGCACATTTCTAGTCTCTTGAATCTATCCAATTGACTTAACATTTATCTACACATCTACCCTCGTATCAGTACAATATATTCCATTTATACAGTTTTGTAGTAAATTATGACATCAAGAAGTGTAAATTCTCCAATTTTCCCAAGATGTGTTATTTTGTTAAATTTTTATCTGAATAAGATATTAGTTTGCCATGTTCTGGAAAAGAAAACAAACAAACAAACAAATATAAAATTGATGGGACTGGATTGAAACTGAACAGTTTATTTATTGATTGATTGGTTTTTGAGACAATGCTTTTCTGTGTAGCCTTGGCAGTTCTGGAACTTACTCTGTAGACCAGGTTGGTCTTAAGAGATCCATTTGCCTGTACCTCCCATACACTGGGATTAAAGGCATGTACCACAACTTCTTGGCAAAACTCAACAGTTTACACAGTACTACCATGTTAAGTCTTCTGATCCATGAATCTGGGAAGTTTCTTATTTATACTTTCTTTCATCCATTGTTTTTCACTGTTAACTTTAAGTTTTGCCATCTTGATTGTGTTCCTTTTCTTGATGTTGTACATGGAGTAATTTTAATTCACTTGGTGAAATTTCGTTTTCATACACAGAGTATACAGAATGACAACTGTGATTAGTAATATAAAAGTAATCTTGAATTTTACAACCTTGATGAACTTTCCCTTCACTTTTAATAGTTTTTGTTTGTTGTTTGTTTTGGTTTAATTTTCTTTTCTTCTCTCTTTCTCTCTCTCTCTCCCTCCTTTTTCTTTTCTTTTCTTTTCTTTTTTTTTTTTGAGACAGGATTTCTGTGTAGCCCTGTCTGTCCTCAAACTAGCTCTGCCTACCAGGCTAGCCTTGAATTCTGCCTTCCAAGTGCTGGGATTAAAGGTTTGTTTTAAATACATTTTTGATGGATTCCTTAGGCTCTGGGATGCTGCTGGGACTTTTGAATACAATTTATGTAAGATTTAAGACTTGTGGGGATTAAAGTCAATATTGCATACAAACTCATTTTTTTAAAGCAAAAGAACAGTTTTATAGATTAAAAACAATTCAGAAAACTAAAAAGCACAAGATCCAAACCAGAAAGCAAAGGCGGTATCCACACCATTAATATTAACTGTGTGATCCTAAGTAAGCTTCCAATTTCCTTTTAGTTTTACATCTGATTTTTAAAATATTTTCCACTTGCAGTGCCTGTGAACTTCTAAATGTATATAAGGAGTACTTTCCTTATTCAGACTTCACATTCACACTTGACTACACATCATCCTCTTCCAACATTTTCACTTCTTAAACATGATATTACTAAAAGTGGAAGAGCATGCTAACTGTACTTTAACATGAAGGGGAAATACAGACATTAGAAAGGGCTCATAAAAGGCACTGCGATACGATTATAAAGTGCTACCCTCTTGGGAACAGCTAGACTATAAACAAATGCTTTAGAGGCTCATATAAGAAGAACTAAAAATGATAAAGCATTATTTACTCTGTCAAAGGATATACTTACTAGTATGTTAAAGCTTGACAATAATAAAGACATTTCAAGAATGGTAAAGTATGTTCTAAAAAATACACCACTTAAAGCTGTCACCAGAGGCTCACCTTTTGTAGTCAAAGTTTTAAATTTTTTTATATTTCTTAGATAACTTAGATTGTCCTGAAACTTTCCATATGCCAGAGGATGACTCCTGATCCTCCTGATTCCACCTACCTCCTACACACTGCAATTATAGGCATGAGCTACACCTGGCTATTACCATTTTAAAATTATAATTTGAATTAAAATAGCAGATAATCTTGTAAAAATTCTAGCAAACACTGCTTTGCTTCTGTTAATGCTGACAACATTCAAACAAATTAGTCTTTGGAATTTATAAAGTCCACTTCAAGTGTTCTGGAACCTGAGTTTTAACCTCTGGCACAGAGGGAGAGGACTATCCCAGGAGGCAGTGGAGTCCTCATCTTTTTTATGATGGTATTGGAAACTCTGAGGACTTCTTGCTGGATCTGAGAACGTGTTTTCTTCATCTTCAGCTGTTTTATAAGATGTGGTGCAGAGTTTGGTTTCTTTAGATTCTTTAGGATTTCTGTGTTTGTTGTGAGTACTGTCTCTGACATGGACTAGGCTATGTCTCATTTTTGGAGCAATGTTCTTAGCTTTCCAGGACATTGGAACACTTTCTTCATCTGAGGAGTCTCTCTCATGGCAAACACTATTCTTCACGACAAGGTTCTTAGTAGTTTTCTCAACAACTTTTGCAGCAGTTGGCATCCCAACTTTAAGACTGGAAGTCTTTACTGCTTCATCATTGAAAGAATGAGGTAAGGAAGTAGTCATCGTGCGGTTTTCTTGAAGATACACTCCTGTAAGTTCCTTTGAGAAATGTGATGAATCACCAGAGCTACTGTCACCAATACAAGAGCTTTTCACCTTTAGGGGCAAACTTTCCAGGTCAGCATCTGCTCCTACATTATACTGAGGGCATGAGAATTTTATATGTATTCGTTCCTTTAGAGGCAAATCGTGAAGATGTAAACTGGAGATGCCAGATGGGAGATGTTCTTCAGGACTAATCTTTTGAAGATCTTTACACAACACTTCACTGTTTACAGTACACTGTTCTGGGTCATATGATAGTTGTTCAAAGCCAGGAAGGATGGCTGATGATTCAGGTTCTGATTGTAAATCTTGAGAGAAAGTGTTTCTTTGAACAGCTGGAGAGTTACTAAAAGTAGTACCTGCCCAGTCAATGATACTCAACTGTAGATCAGCAATTGCAGAAATATTATGGGAAGAAGAGCTGGGCTGACTATCTGAAACTAGAAAATTACTGACATCTTTAGTTTGCTTTGTAGTTGAGGGTTTTAGAGAAGGCATGAACTGTTCTTGCAAATGCAAACAATGAGCATTTTCAGAGAAAACAAAACTATTCAATGAGGGAGAAGTAGATTTCTGTGCTAAAACAGGATCTGGAGAAATTTCCAAATTAGCTTTGGGATTTTGCTTTGGAACGACATTAGATGTAGGTTTTAAAGTCATAAGTGACTCAGAACTGATTATATCCTCTGATTCTGGTAAATGGCTTCCTTTAGGCTTAATTTTCATATCTGAAAAGAAAGAAAAACATAACAAATATCCATTGCCTTTCCTTAACTTGGGTTGAAAAAAAAAAAAAGCCCAAGCAAAACTAAAAGATAAACCAGTTATCTATCTATCTATCTATCTATCTATCTATCTATCTATCTATCTATCTATCTATCT